TTGACAACCACCCTCGCGGAGCCCCGCGGTCCAGGGCTCGGACCCCTTGAGAAGTACAATAGTTGGTTTCCCTCTCCACCCGCCGCGCTCCGCTGGCCAGCCCAGCACGCCCATCGGATCCGAGTGGAGAAGTTGTCCGCCGCTCTCTGTACGCCTAACACCTACCTATCTTCCTAAAACATTCAGCATCATTACCAATCAAAAGAAAAAGGAGAACAAGAAGGGAAACAGTACTGGGTTACTATGCACTTGCGACTGATTTCTTGGTTTTTTATCATTTTGAACTTTATGGAATACATCGGCAGCCAAAACGCCTCCCGGGGAAGGCGCCAGCGAAGAAGTAAGTGCAGGGTCTTTTCCGCGTTTGCTCCCTCCCTCCCGCCGTGTTCACCTGTCGGGTCGCCCGGCCGGTGCGGAGCCGGCAACCAGCGCGGCGGTCCTCCCCCCCTGCGCCCCACGCCTCCGACGGAGGTAACAGTTCAGGCTCCGGGAGGGACGGCGTCTCTCACTCCTTCCTCCCCGCATCCCTCCGTGACCCGCAGACACGCGCGTGCCGCGGCCGGGCATCCCGGGTGCCCAGGGCTCTCCCGCCCCCGGTAACTTCAGGTTCGCGGAGAAGTCGGGTCTTTCGTTGGACCAGCTCTAGGGATTCGCGCTTTCCTTTCGAGACTCGGACAGGAACCCGAATCCCAGGGACGCCCCTGCCCACCGGGGAGACGCGAGGGGCGGTGCGCGCTCGCCTGGGGCCCGGTCCCCTCGCGTGGCCGCCCCGCGTGGGGAAACCTGGCTGCGCTCTCCCGTGGCGATCGGCTGCCGAGACCCCGCGGGCAGCCGGGGGGCGAGGGGGCGGACGTCTGCGCGGCCACTCGCCCCTCGCCACACGCGAGTGGAGCCCGAGGCTGGAGAGGCGCGCAGGGTCCAGCGTGTCCGCGCGCTTCGGAGCCGCTCGCAGCCCCAGTCCCCGGGCGGTGGGAACCTCAGCACCGCCGTGCAGAGCCGGTTTCCAGGTTCAGCCTGGCCTGTCACACGTGAACATCTCAGGCTCTTTCAAGCCGGTCCCCTTTCTAGCGGGCAGACACGTCCGGGAGGTGGGGGTGCCCCCTAAAGATTCAGGCTCGCCTCCTCGCCGTCTCTGACCCTGACTCCCGTGACTTGGAAGGTTGGTTTTTGGGCGCTTCTTTGGACCGTGTCCCCGCTGGGATGAAACGGGCACCCCCGGAGCACCCTCGATCCAGGTCGGTCTGTGTGAAAGCGGTGCCCTCCTGAGATGAGGGCACAAACCCGGGAATGTCACCTCTCGCTGCTCCTGGGTAGCCCGGCGCGCCGGCCGCTCGAACGTCCGTGCCTGGGGCGGCAGTCCCTTGGAGGACAGCAGAGCGGGGGTGGGGGGGGTCTTCCCTGGCTTTAGTGTGGGGGGCGCTGCTGGGGAGAGGGAGGGAGAAACCGCCCGGAGCCCGTGGGGGCACAGAGGGTGATGCTATTGCCTTGGCCCCTCGGACCTCCTGGGGGTGGGAGGCAACGACGTTGGGCGGCTCTTGATCGCGCGTGGAAAGCCCCCCTCGCTCCTCGGGACCGGCGCGGGCGCCACGCGGAGGACACAGCACAGGCTTGTGTGAGATGGAGATTTAGTCATCGCTTCCCCGCCGCTGCTCGCCCCTGCCCTACCCCTGGACGGGAGGGTCCCCTGAAAGCTGCCTTTGTGCCGCTGGCCTCCAGCAGACAAGGTTTGATTCACCTGAAAACTGCCTTTTAGAAACGAGCTCCAGGGGCTCCGGCCCGGCCTCACTGCCTCTCGGATCGCGTGGCAGGGGGCAGGAGGACCTCAGCTAAACGTGTCAGGGCATCCGATTTATTATTCTTGGCTCCTGGGTGGTTTCTCTTCCTCCTCACTCCTCCAGCCATCCTTTCACTCAAGCATTGCGCTCGCGCCTGCGCCCCCTCCCCCTCCTCCCCTCTTCTTGCGTGTCCAGCTGGGGATCTGAGTCACAGGTCCATGGGAAGAAGGATGCCCACGCCGGGCACCAGCACAGCCTCCTAGTTGCTAATCCCTCTTCCAGCCGGCGCCCGCCTGGAGCTCAAAGTCCACTCCCTCCACCCCACTGAGGACCCACGGGGCTAGAAGCCGCTCACTGGCTGGGTGGGGACCGGGACCCGAGTGTCAGTGTGTCAAGTGTCTCCGATTGCGGTGTCGGAGCCCCTGTGTCTGAAGGAAGAGACAGGAAAGAAAGTTGGCCGTCCATCCGTTCCCACCTCCCTGAGCGAGGACAGCGGTGCGGGACGCTGCCCAGGGAGGCTGCCCAGGGAGGCTGCAGCGAGCGGCCGGAGAGCGCACCTCTAGGATAGGACCCTGGAGGAATCGCGGAGTCAAAAGGCAAACTGCTTCTCTGCCTTAATCATCTCCAGGCCGCCGAGTCAAAGGCGCCCTCTGGTTGTGTAGCGGGGATGAGAGAGGGAGTGGGTGGGACTGGGATGAAATTCCAATTATTCTGTGGGAGTGGGGCGTGGAGAGAGCTCCCAGAGCAGGGGATGCTCCTTCGCCCTGGAGTCTGCTTTGGCTGCTGGGTTTGCTGGTGCAATCCTGGGAGAGGGGCGACCCCTTGCGTCCTCCGAGGAGACACGCCAGACTCTCTTGGCAGGTGCAGTATGGGTTTTTGTTGTTGTTGTTGTTGTTTTGGAGAATGGGGAAGGGGTGGTGGGGAAGGAGAGATCTTTGTTAAATGTCCAGAAACTCAAGGCCAAATTGCATGTGCACATATTCATTTCTTTAAAAATCTCTGAAAGAAACACATAGAGACTTTTTCTCAAGGACTAGGAAAGGTTTTCTGTAATGAAAAGTAAGGTAATAGTCAAAGGGATTTTAGAAAGTGGTCTCTCCTGTTTTTCAAAGAGACAACTTCAGTGAATGTTTCAGAGTGTCCCTTCTAGACTGTAGTTAAATAGCTTCACTTCCTTAAACTCTTAAGACATGAGAGAAAATTGAACTAAGAACTTACAGTCTTTTGAATATTTTAGTAGAAAGTGTCTTGCACAAAAAGATATTCATTTGTAGTGTTAAAGGTCAAGTTGAAGGAACCATGGTTAATCCCAGATATAGCAAATGAAGCCATATCAGGTATTTCCCTCCTTCCCCCACACAACTGCTACAGCCTTCTCTCTATGTTGTTGCAAACTAATGATATTGTTTCCTCTTATAAAAGAGACATTTCACACAGAACTTTTAAATATATACTATATTGAATTATGGGTTGATAAATACACAATAACGTTTTCACCTATTTGGATTCATATCCAGTTCCTAGAGATGACTAAATTGAATTTATTTTAAGTAACAATACAATTGTTACTTAAAAATTCCCAGGTAGCAATGTTTTCAGAGGTAAGCATTAGGATGCTAAATCAAGAACCTGAAACTCAACTTTTAATTTCTCTCCAACTCAGCCTTTGCAACTTAGTACAGTCAGCTTCTGAATTCCAGGTTATCTGCTAATAAAATTAATAGTCAAATTTGCCATGATAATAACCACAATACCTTACTATTGCTCCACATTTTCACTTGAATTATTCATTTGAGCTTCTAAATAGCCACTTGATCTAAAGAGGCAGGCATTAATATTCTCATTTTACAGAGATTGAACCCAAGAAACAGAGGCTAAGTAAGCTATACAAAATTATACAGTTAGTAAGTGAAGCTTGTCCCCTGCTATTTATATGATATGCTGATTCATGTGTGAGAGAAGATGTCAGGCATGCTAAGTAATCTTACGGTCTCTAGACCATCATTTATCCAATATGTTTGGAGAATGCGCTGTTCTGCTTGACTGGAAGTTTTTGAAATGATATTTGTATGTATTATACATTAATGACCAATGTCAAAGGATTAACTAACGAGTAATAATAGTGAAGCTTGTTAAAGATAATATAATATTATTTGGTTATTCAGAAGTAATTGCAGGATCATATTATGCCAGAAGACTATTGTTAGAAACATCAGTTGCCATTGTAGTATTCTTTTTTTGTAATGCCATGTACTAATTGGATTTTAATTTTTTAGATTTCAGATAAATGCAAGATTTGAAAAGCCATTGTATGCGTAATAATTACAAAGTATCCATTGCACAATCTATAAAGCTTTTGAATCTTTCATAAAGGTGTTTTAAATAAAGGAGTAAGAATACAAATGGAATATTTTTAATGGTAATAAAATAAAAAACGGGTTCATTGGAATATACTGGTTATTGCTCATGACATTGTTTCAGATGTCGAGCCATTCTTTGAGATTCTGATGCACTCTTGGTGATTACACCCTAGTCTTGGAAAATAACAAGTTAACAATAAGGTGGGAAAATCTTTTATTTTGTCCTGAATTTTGTAATATTACTTTTAAATGAAAGTATGGGTTGGATATTGGCTACAATACATTTTCTCACCTGTCTACTTTTGTTAACTGTCTACCTTGTTGTTAAGAGAAATTTAATAGATGGTGACATGAGTAAAATTTGCTGGAGAAGGTATATTCTGCAACATATCATGTGCTATCTGTGTGAATCACAAATTCAAACTCTTAGTAATGACATCTAAATATATGCAAAAGACTTTTAGTTTTGTGAATTCTGGTTTAATCATCATTAGACTATCAGATTATTTTAAACTATTAAATTAATTATTTTATAGTTTAACAGAAGGATTTTACCAAGAACATTAAGGGTGATAATTTTTAAAGATTGTCTTTTTAGTCCCAAGTTACTCTACATAAACTAATTGAGAATATAAGAATGAATGTGAAATTGATTTAATGTCATCATGTCTATATTACTTTAAGCATGAAATATGAACAGTATTTCAATTTGTAAGTAGGTAAGTTTTGCTAACTCATTTCCATTAAATATTTCCCTGGCATTTAATATTCTACAAATTAGATCCCCAGAATGCTATGAATGGAAATTACAACATGTAGTTAAAATTGATTTTCAAGTTATTATGGAGAGACCCTTGCCACACTATTACAAAACAAATTTAGTAGTCATCTGATCATTTTAGACTATTTTTTAAAATATATTTTTATTGATTTCAGAGAAGGGGAGAGAGATAGAAACATCGATGATGAGAGAGAATCATTAATTTGCTGCCTCCTGCAAGCCCTGCACTAGGATCAAGCCCGCAACTGGGCATATGCCCTGACCAGGAATAGAATCTTGACCTCCTAGTTCAGAGGTTGACACTCAACCACTGAGCAATGCCAGCAGGGCTCATTTTAAACTATTTGAATCTGAACAGATATCTTTAAATTGCTACTAAAAGTCTAAAATATAAATGGTTAAATCTTTTTTAATGTAATGGTGC